AACATTCTGGTATCTTTATATGATCTTTTAGGGTGCCATTACATGGAGCGCGGAAACGCGGATTAGCGTAACGCGGAACGAGAGTGAAACCAATCGCGAGCATTCTGCAGTTTTTGTTACGCTCGCGATTGGTTCCATTCTCGTTCCGCGTTACGCTAATCCGCGTTTCCGCGCTCCATGTAATGGCAACCTAAAAGATCATATAAAGATACCAGAATGTTATCTAATGCGCCGTTTTTTGAAGACAGAAAGATATCACGAAAATGATGTCTGAAAGATTTCTTAAATTGAACGTCTTTAAGATATCTAAATTATGTTAACATATAGAGTTCTTATTTATGATGTCTAAAAGAGATCTGACATATGTTAACATATGAATTTCTGATTCAAGATAGAATTCTATTTATAATTTTATGCGTCATATGTTTTAACCCAGTCAGCCACGTCTGTTCTAACAGATATTGCCAAGTGCTTGCTACAAATTATTGTCAGCAAAAAGGCTACAAATTTGGTGCAAAAGTTGTTATTACCGATTAAGCTGGCAGATTGCCGGCAAGAACCAAGCAAAGCTTGCTAACATAACTAGACAGCAAATTGGCGGCAGAAACCGAGCAAAGCTTGCTGACATGACTGACATCAGATTGTCAGCAAAAACTGAGCAAGATCTAGAGTGCGCAATCTGATGGCAAATTGGCAGCAAAAACCGAACAGAATCTGCAGCTTATTACAAAGTATTATAAAATAGTTCAGTCGCTTATCGCTATGCGGCGCGTTATTCATTATCTATACCCGTATTCAAATTCTTATCATGAGTGTATATAAAGCCTGCAAAACGCTAATAATATTATAATATATATATATCAGGTGATTGCATAAGTTCGTGCCCGATTTAAATATAAACTTCAATAGATTATATTTTAGAGATAACACTGTGTATGGCTATCATTTACTCTTCCTCAGGACATCCAGAGGAGATCCGAGGATTAAAATAGGATATCCTCAGGATATCCTACATGTATGTCCTGGATGCCCTTTGGACGTCCTAAGGACATCCTTGTGCTGTCTGGGAATATATCAATGGAAAATTAGACACATATATACAAAAATAATTTTAGAAATATTTATGTGAATATTGAATAAGAATGAGAGATTACCTGAAATTAAAATGATTGTTCTACACGTTGCTGCTTTTTCCATGTATAGCCATGCGGGAAGAGACCGGAAGTCGTATCATTGCACGCATATATCGCATGTACCCGGATGTCTGTTAATGGCTACCACGCAATTTGAAAAGTTAAATATTGATCATATAAGAATAAATATAATATCCAAACTTTATCCATTTATTTTATTATCAATTTATTTACCGTGATACACTCTGGCTATGTTTATTTTAGGCACTCACGCTCTGTAAACTTATATAAGCGCTGTTTTCATTCATTCATCCAGATAGTAAAAAGTATCCCAAAATCATCCAAAATGTGTCCAGGATATCTTGAGGAGTTTTGTGGGATGTACTCAGGACATCCTGGGTTACGCCTTAAGACATCCTGGGTTACGCCTTAAGACATCCTGGATATGTGTGGGATGATTTTAAGATATTGAGTCTGGTGGATATTAAAAGAAGATT